CACGTGCGGGTCCAAAGGCGTAAGGCGCCTTGCCCCCCCCTCCCCCCCCGTCCCCTTGAAGAACGACCCTACCGGCCCTGAAACCCTCGTGAAAAACACTCGTGAAAAGTCGCCGTTGTGAAAAAACACACACACACACACACACCCCCCGTGGAAAACAGTTCGTAAACTCTCACTCTGTAGCTATCGTACCGATCAGTCTTTACACTCGGAAATGGGACGAGTTTTACTTAATGTAGGTAGTAGTTTACGCTGCGTGCTGCACAAGCATGCTTAAGCGAGTGTGACTAAAGGACCCCAGCCCATTGCAAGGAGAAGGGAGACCCCCCACCCTGGAGAACAAAGGGTACCCCTGGGACACCCAAAATAACACCAGCACCGAAACCCACCCCGTAACTGGCATCGCAGAGAAGTAACTGCAGCAGGACCAACTCTGGGCACGTCTAGAACACGAAGGAAGCAGATGGGTGATGACATCATAAAATTACAGTTGCTGATGACATCATAAAATTACAGTTGCTTTGCAAAACAGTGGCGCGTGTGTGTTAAGAAGCGATCGGTCAAATCATGTCGTACCCGAACGCTTGAAAGGTACAAGAACCGGGTGTAAAACCACATTCGGGGTGCCCCAACGTCAACGGGACACCTCACGCACGTCAATAAAGAATTACCCTTGTAATTCCGTACTTCGCGTCCCAGACTCCCTCCTTGCTGCAAAATCTTCATGACAAAACCCAGCTGGGGGTGCTGGGAGGTCGGGGGCTGCGTCGGGACCTCTGCCGGGCTCGGGGGAGAGGCCGGTTTGCAGGGAGCCGTGGTGCTTCTGAGTAAATCAGCTGGTGTGGTTGATCCCACGGGCCTGGGCACGTGTCCTGCATTCCCCGCGCTTGTTTTATTCTCCCCCAGGCTGCAGGAGATGGGGCCAGATGCTAAGGAACGTGGAAATTCGCTGCCTTTAATAATCGCAAATTGGGCTGTGACCAAAACCTGTCGGAAAACAAAAACTCCCCTCCCCTTTTTGCCCAGTCCCTGTGGAGAAGCGCGGCTGAGCAGCTGAAGCCAGGTCTAAAATAGCTCAATTCTTCCAGCGAGTTTCGGCCTGATGTGCTTAGAAGGTGCGCGTCTTCTCTCGAAGCAACTTGGCCGGCTGCAAGCAGGATCAAGAGGCTCGTCCCAGCAGCGACAGCCTTCGGCTCGAGCTTGAGCCAATACGCTTGATAAACTTCGGACTCGCAAAAGTTAGCCCAGACACCGCACAGGGTTAGATAAGGGGTTTTATGGTTTCTGGGGAAGGCGAGCGGGCAGGGATCCCAGCGCAGAGCGAGGCGCCGTGGCCGAGCTGCTCCAGTCCCCGGGAGCCAAGGAAGGGGGACGGCAGTGCGCGCTGCCGCTAACCGTGGCCTGATGAGCGTTTAAGGGATCGGTAGTGCTGGAGCTTTCACGCAGTACTGGGAAAACAGCCCCATCTATCAAGCAACCCCATCTATCAAACCTTTCCAAGCCTTCCTGTGCCGCGGGGGTGAGGGAAGGAGGGGTGTCGCAGCTTCCCCGGGCTGAGCCCCACAAGCCCTGTTTCACTTTGGGAGAAGCTGGGGGCCTGGGGGCTAAACCCCGCTTTGCACAAGCCCCAGCAGTTCGGGAGGGTTTAACTTACATCTGGACGTCCGTCGTGCAAAGCACAGCAAGCCCCTGCCTGTGCCAGGGCCCTTTTGGCCAGATGGGAAAGGGCTTGCCTCCCATTTTGTGGCCAGGAGAGGACGCGGTGGCCCCCAGCAGCTACTTCATGCCAGGCAGGTGTAGGCTCAGGCCACCAGTGACCAAGAGCAAAAATAACTACCTCTTTTGAGGGACTTGACTGAAACTGTCGAGGCTGAGGTTCAGCTCAGCCGGGGTGGCGAAAGCCAAAACTGAGTTTCAACATCTAAAGAGCATCCTCAAGAAGGGCTAGTGCAAGGCCGGTTTTGACAACTTCCAGAGTTGATGAGCAACGGGTTGTTTGAATCTGTATCGGTACAGCCTGAGAGAATGACAGAAAGGAAAGACAGCCACAGGTAGATAAGGATGGGAGCATGAGTCCCACCGCTGCTTCACTCGTGGGAGGAATCTGCGACGCTGGTGGACAAAGAGCAATCGAAAAGGAAATAACACATTGTGCTCGCACCTTCTTCCCTCCTCCTCACCAAAGGATGTAAAGATCAAGAGAAGGCACACTCCTATCCAGCATATCAGAGACTCAGCCGGCGCCTGTCAGGGTTTTTTTTCTGCAAACATACGGAGATGAGGCCCTTCAGACCTCTAGGAAACAAACCCTTTGGTGGAACAGAAGTATTTGGGAATAGACGTCTCTATTTCCAGCTTTCAACGAACAAACCAAGGAAGAATCTGTAACTTCCCTCAGATCACAGGATATTTTTCTGACTTTCTTTTTTAAGGGTCACGCGTACATTTTCTGCCATCACTTTTTATCTGTAACCTAACATCTGTAAGTCATTTTGCAGTCGGACCCGCAGTAGCTCGCCACCTCGGGGCGGCGGGGCGGGAAGCAGCCTGCTTGCCGAATGGCCGCTCTGGATGCCGCTGACCTTCACCAGCTCTGCAAAGTACATTTCCTTCCTATGCCAGAGGATCAGATCAGCTGTCTGCAGAACAATGCTCACGCGGACGACGTGGAAGAGGCTGCCGAAGACGTTTGGGTAGGGAACCGTCGCGCTGGGCTTGGCCTCCTTCCAGGCTCCGCACGCATGAGCACACACTTTGATGGCGAGCGCCTTCGAAGAGGAATCGCAGCCAAGCGATTCAAAGGCATTTTGGTGTTTAATTCGCAATGCTTTCAGCGAACGTTAGGCAGCAAAATACCTTTGAAGTTTCGTGCTCGGGTTTATTCTTTCTGTGAGACTTGGGTTAGGGGTATTCCCAAGCGAGCAGATGATTAACGTGAGCTTTCTACTAGACTGGAGATGTAATACTACACTGACTTGCAGACCCTTCTGCTGCGATTAGATATGGTCCACAGCTTTATAGTTCCTGTGAGTTTTACAGCCCATGCCTATTAAGGAGTGAAGGGGTCCATGATTGCTGTCGTAACACAGGACCAAAATCTAAGTGCCTGTCTGAATTAACTTATTCTAAACGCTATCCCTTAAAGAAAAAAACCCCATTGCTCATTTAATCTGGTTTTGTTCCTGTGGGCAAGCCTTACACGCTGTAATTACTCATGCAAAATGATGCCAACAGCTTGTAACCCAGCCCTGCTCCACGTGGCGATCGCAGCTGCCCGTGGGGCGGAGGCAGGCAGCGATTTGGGGAGAAGCAGCCCCGAGTGGTGCTCCCCGATTTCGGCCCCATCTTGGTGGTGGCACAGCCCGCCAGGGCCGGCAGGCTGGGGCAAAGCGCTGCCTGCCCGGGTAAACAGGGAAGTTGTGAACCAGAGCAGGGAGGGGATCGTCTGTCTTTATTTCTTGCTGCCACGTTTGGCTCTGGGCTCACATTGCAGAGAGCTGGGGAAAATGTGGAGAAAGTTCCCCCCCGCCATCTCCCAGATCATTCTTCTGTCTGGGAGAAAACGCCCTCAGATTTTGAGGCACGACAACAGCGCGAGGCTGTATAGTTTATGGAAAAAGACGATTAGGAGGTGTCTGGGTGACAATTTATAGCTAGATCTCTCTCCAAAAGCAACTACCGTATACTCACTATTTGCAAGCAAACCAGCAGGAGGAACCAGCGGCTGGCAGCGCACCCGTTTCTTTGTGGACGTTTCCAGGTCTAATCCCTGGTGCCTGTGCCTCCCGGGGCCGTGGCTGTCCCAGGCAGGTCACTTCCCGCAGGAGCCTGGACTCCGTCTGCCACCCTGAAATGCCCGAGATGGTACATGCTCTGGCGTCTTTTAGCAGGAAAGCAATAAAGGCTTCGGTGCTAGAATATAAACAGAGTGAACAATTTGTAAGGCAGAAGTTTTTCCAGGATGGAGCCTGACTTGCTTCTTGCAGGAGCAAATGCATCTCTCGGCTCTCGCAAGGTAGCACCGCAGCATCCCTGAACTCTGCACTGACTGAATCGCACTGGGAAATGATGAACGCTACCCCCAGCTTTCTAAGGGCGTTTTCAATAAACGTGCAATTTATCTGCACCAGCCAGGTGCTTTATACCAGGAAGATGATGCACAGGGCTTGTAGGGTAAATAAGAGAGTGGTGGAGGGAAGGATGGAGGGAGCTGGCAGCAGGAGGTGAGCCTGGGGGTGGCTGTGGGTGGGAAAGCCAGGCTCAAGCCAGGGCCCAGGCTGCTGAGAGGGGCGCAATGTGGAGGTGGAGATGCCAAACTTCAGCCTCTGCCTTCCGAAAAGTCTGCAGGAAGGCGGCAAGGCAGGGTTGGGAGATGTTGTTTCTCCCCACCGCTGCCCCAGGGGCCTCTGCATTCCTCTGGGAGGCCTGCCCTGCCTGCTGCCCGTGCTGCCTCCTCCTGCGCTGCCTGCACATTTAACCCCCAAGTTGCAGGGGCAGGCCCGTGCCCCCAGCGTCAGGGCAGAAATGGGTCCGGACTTGGATGTTTTGCTTCTGTTGCAGTACTACTGCCTGCTACAGAGCACGATCTCTGCCGTAAATTACACTAAGAGTCATTTAATTAATGCTAACGGCACAGAAGGGCCAGGGCAGCACTGGGACAGCTTGCCGAACTGCCTTTCTGGAGCAGTACGGACGCTTCGCAGCAAGGCTTTCAGGGTCA